CCAGCCGCATTAAAGAATCTCCCTCTCAGCGAATGCTTGACGCCTACAGCTTTAGGAAGTTGTTTTTTCTTGGGCGTTCTACAGTCTTTAGGTGGATTTAAAAGGCCTAATCCAGCAAAAGTCGAAATCACAGCAGTTATCGAATGAAGCTATCGAATTCAACTTCCTACATTTGCTTCCTGTAACATTCGCCTTTTTGCAAGGTCATCGCGGAGTAGTTTAATCAGTAGAATAAAAGTCTTTCCTTACCCTACCTTAAATCTAACTCTTGTTCAGTTAGGTTTAACGAATTGCTTAGATATTCCAATGAAAGGTTACTGGATGAACCTCCCAGTGATATTGTCCACTCACTATCTGCGCCACTGATCGATTTTCTCGGTACTTTGTCTTCGAGTAAACCTGCATAATCCTTGAAATCATGGTACGATGTTTCGTTGAGGTCAAATCCAGATCGTCCCGATGCCCTGGAATACAGAGAGAAAAATACTGTTGAAACAAGGACCAGCCGGGCCAGCGCTACTTTCCGTCATGTGAAAAATCCAACTTTTGCGGTTAACAAAAGTCCAGAGACTACACGCGTCTTTTTAATAACTTTCAGAGTGCAATTTAATAAGGTGGCTGGGAAAAGAAATGGCAGATAAAAAGGCTGATAATAAAGAGCTTATATGCGAGGAACCCAAAAGATTTTTAATTTTTATGCGGTATCAAGCGTTCGACGCCAAAACCCCGCGAAGTGATAGTGAAACTTAATTAAGTTGAGTGACGCTTTCGCTCATCTTCCCACTCAATTTATTTTATAGTCACGATTGTCCAGTTTATTCTGCAGTTCCAATCCTTCAGTTTTAGGATAATAATTAATTTTAGCCGCTTTTGCATGACAGGTGTTTTCGTGAGGAATTTCTATAAGTTCAAATTACTTTTACTGAAACGTTGACTCTATGTAATTCAGAATTGGATCCCGAGGGCCACAGGTTTTGTTACAACAGAACTAAAATTTCTTTATTTTTCACGTTTTACTATTTTTTAATGGAAAATTAGAAACTAATATGAAACGCACAGTCATTTACAGCCAGGGATAAAGTGCTAGTTGCCGGTTATGATTGAAAGCAGAAATTTTTTCAAGCTAAACATTTGCTAGACAACAGGGTTTTCTGTAATCCACAGAAAAAGGGGATTTTCTCTCTATGTTGAGTTTTCCGTTCGTAACTGAGTTATTACAAAGAGTTAATTCTGAATAGAGTAATTAACCCAAAGGCGCTTTTCAATCAAAGAAACTGGCCCTTCTTCTCTTGGGTCAAATCTTTCTATAATGCTAAACAAAACACAAAAAAACCTACCTGCAAAATAGAACATCATATGACAACAGCATCACAAATACCACAGCCGCCTTGGGGATCATGTTGAGGCCAGAACCGGGTGGCTTTCAAGTACGTACTGGTTCAGTTCGCACGGAGCCTACTACTGTAATCTGTCCTTGCTAAGCAAGTCACATGCACATTTATTCATAAATGCGTCAAAAAGCAAATAATAAACGACAATTGCTTCCTTCCTAACCAGCCATGTTTTCAAAAAATGTTTTTTTTATTTTAAGGAATTTGTGGCAGTCGCTGAACAAAGGATGAAAACAGGAGGTATATATAGCTTGTTTGCTCAGCGGGGAAAATCTAAATATATTTTCTAGTTCACAAGTTTATAAACTAGTAATTATCGCCTCTGACCTGATTTTATCTTTGAAGACGTTTCTGGAACCTCTGAAAAAATAAATAGTCATTTTCCGCGATTTACATACAGAGGAAGTTGCTTATTGCTAAAAAATTCTCAATGACCTTTAAATGGATGAATGAAAATTAATCGCGCCATTTACTCAGGCGATCTTGGACCACCTTACCGATCAGTCGCAAAATTTTCCTTTTTGTTCTGACTCAAAAAAAAGTCTTTTAGTATAATTACAGAAATTCCATGTTTATAGAAACACGCCTACAAGTATTCAAAGATTATCAAGGCGGCCCACTTGCGTGGAAACAACTTCATAATCCAGAGTAGTGAAAACTGCAACTTTGAGGAAAATCTGCTGATTAATTTTGATAACACTTGCCAAGCCTACAAAAGAACGGGAAACCAGCTTAAAATTACCACCAAGGGAGAATTAAACTTGTACTCGAAATAATGACTTTCCTAGGAAATAGCTAAGGTTTTTCTTTTACAGTTTTGACCAAGAGCCAAACGCCCAAACACAAACAAAGCAAAGCCGATTGAAGTACTCCCACTACATTTACTTTGCGGACAAAAGCTTGACTTGCGTTATACCAAGCAAATTTAGTTTTTAGATATGACATAAGAAAGTTAGTTTATCAGTTTATCAGTGGCGCATTTGTTATAACTCATATCTTGTATTTTAAAGAGAGTCTCTTACGCATCGATCATTCGGTATTCGCGTCAGTCATCCAAACATAACAAATAATGCTTGCTGAGCTAAGACGTACGTTTTTAAAGCCGAGCGTAAGAGAACATCCAATTTAATTTAAAGAACAAATTAACCAACCAAATGTTTACTAACAAAATATCTCCCTAAAGGGGTAACGACAATTTGAACGTGCCTTCGTAAAAACAGAGCGATAGAATTTGTTAGCACCATAACACAAGAAATCGAACCAAAATAAGACAAATTTGTAGACGGTACTTCAACTGGTCTTGGTTAAATGATTTATCATCAAGACAGGCGAAAATCTGGTTCCTGATATTCAAGTTTATTTAAAGACAAACCCTGAAGGTTGGCTAATGTGCATTTTTAGCGACTTTAAAGTTCATACTCGTGTAGCAATCTTTTTGGTCCGGGTTCTTCTTCGTAGTCCACCGGCCTTTTATTAAAAGCGTACGTTCTGATCTTTTCAAGACCAATGTTGGCGCTTGGGGTACCTCTCTTTAATGTACTTATTTTCTGTTTCATTTCTCTTCCTTAAAAAAACGTTACGTGCACTCCAGATGAGCTAAAGTCCTCTGGATAAAAATATAAGTATAACAATTTGTCAGCCCACAGTCAGACAATGGATGTTCCTTCTTCAGTTTCCATAAGTAAACAAGATTAAGTTATTGTCTTGTCAGCACACGTTTCGTTAAGTCCGGCAATCCAACTGTGCCAACATGGTACTGTTAAGCCTCCTCAAAACGGAAAAAAAAATCGCATTTCTAAATTACGTCGTTCCTCATTGTTGCTCGGATATCTTAGACAAGAAGGCTGTTAATATATTTTTGTCCTGTTGTTTTATTATATTATTTTAACACCCGAAATGTATTTTACAGAGGCCAGGCGACTTCAAAAATAGCTCCTAAATAGTTCATTAGATATCCAGAAGGAGAATCAATCTGTTGAATGAAAGAGTTAATTTTTTTCAGTGTTTATGTTTTGGTGGGTGCTGACGGAAGAACATATAGAAAAAAGTTCTAATTAACAAAATGTTGCCTGTTGTTTGACAAAACTCTGCAAAGCAATTGATTTCTAAGTTAAATTGTACTGTCACTTTTGACATAAAAAAGGAAATAAAAATGAATCGACATTAGTTGTACCCAGCTGGTGTAATTTTTAGACACTGTCCGTTCAAAATATCTGCCTAACTTTCTGACCTAACAATCCATTTCCATCTTAGGCTGTTTCACTCTTCTCCTTAAATTCGCAATTAAAGTTCTGATATGATCGAATTTGATAACATGCAACGAAACTAGATGTCATTTTTTTGGTAATTTAAATTAAATTTTCTTTGGATTTTAATTTTCTTCAATGCGATACTAAACAGACATAGGACACATTAGTCAAAGGGAAGTATCTCGTTTAATTTGATGTCAACGGTTAAACGAACGAGGGCACTCGCGACAGAGCTTATAATCTTACGTATCAAGTATTGTAATTTCAATCGAAAGGAAAGCTTTAAAATAAAATGTTGCGGGTCGCGAAGGTTACTGTGTGTTCAAACTGAGTTCAAAATGGTTTGTTTTAAAAGCTAAGGAATGAGATCTTTATAACTGAAACAGGATGTTCGTTTCCTACAAAAAAACGTCTGAAGAAAATACGATTTTAAAATATATCAGTAAAACCCCGCGACTAAGAACCTAGAGTTTTCCACGTTAGCCTAAACAGGTTCTTATGTAAATGGTAGTTCATCGTTAGCGCATTCTTAGGCTATTTAGGTTCTTATTTTCTGAAGAAAAAAATACAATATCTAAGGGATAGCTAAGGAAGTAAAAAAAAAATAATTCAACCCTAGGTTTACGTTGACAAAACAGTGAAAAAAAACAAAAATACAAGAAAGTGAACGTGGTAGGCAAAGTCAATTCGACCTGTGACCGGGACAGGTCATCACTAATTTCCAGCCTAGTCCCTAGGCGTTCTCGGCTCGGTCAACCCTGGACTCTATCGTGAGCTGTGACGTCACCGAGAGTCCCAGACTTCGCGCGGACAATGGAGCAAGAGAGAACGCTTAGGGACTAGGCTGACTAATTTCCATATACAAGATCTTTCCACTTCACATAAATATGACGAACCTAACGCTCATGCCTGAAAATAAATTGTTCTCCAATTTGTCGCATGTGAAGATAGACGTTTGGCCAGTATGATTTGGCCTACTGGATGGTACATACTTGGGAGCCGTATTAACCCAGTGTGGTACGAAAAATGTCTTTGTTTCATTCAATTATTTAACGATCAAATTCTGCGTTGCTAGGGAGTTAAAGCAAAGACGGACGTGCGACCGAAAGAGGACTTTTTCATTCTTGGGACGTGAATTTTTGGGCAAATCGCCTCTATAAGCGTTAAGGCATTTAGCAATACAATACACTTTGTATTAAGGCCAAACAACAAAAAAACATTCTCCCTGCCAATAGACCTCTTTCTGTCAACATGTGACAAACTCGTGTGTGCTACGAACACCCCATAGCTTGCGTAGCAGGCTAAACACCCCACAACTAATGTCATCGTGTCACATTTCATGACACATACATAACTGAAAGATGTACCTTTCAAAATGGCGGACAAAGACGGGCGAAATTTTCGCACCCTTTACTATGACACTTTGGGGCTTCGAAACGTAGAGCAGAGAAAAGCACTGGAAATTTTACTGAAGGATGATCCCATAGGTGATTAAATATTCTCTGAGATCAATGATGTTTTTAAGAAACTAAGGCTATGTACGTCCCTTGATTCAGCTTAATATTGTCTAGCTCGTTTCAGACTAGCCTGCTGAAACGCCTGGAACAGTGTACTTTTTGTCTTTTAATTTTTGCAGACGTGAAGCGAATTTCGACGTTTAGTACACGGTTTAGCTTGCCCGCTATATACAGAACTCACGTGTGGAAAGTAATTTTAGGTAAGCGAGTTGCTTTACTGGCCTTGGTTTACGACAGTCAAACCGGGAAAACCGTGAGCGCCAGAAATATTTCTGGAATGTTATTGTCTTGCAAGAGAAAAGCCAATCAGGCATGAGAAAACTAAACTGCAAGCAAGGCCGTTAATTAGTCTGTGGTTTTGTGGCTAGTCCGAATGTCCTGATCTTTGCTGTGATTGGTCATAACACAGTGAACATTCCTGAGATATTTCAAGTGTTCACGTTTTTCCCAGTCACACTGTAAATGGTCATGCTGGACTCAAATTCATGCTTCATTAAAAAAGGCTGCCCCAATCTAAGCAAATACGTATGCAAGATTTAGCAGAATGTAGCAGTTGAATATTAAAACTGGTGTGTTCTTAATTTCAGTATCAGGATGTTATGAGATGCTTTTCTGCACAGCCAGTTGGTGGGGTTTTTAAATATGGTTGTTTCCCCTACGAGTCTTTTCGCCAACGTCCTGTTTGCTAACGTGTTAAATCATTTCGCTTACCTGTTAGCAGGGTTGTCAGAAAGTTTTGAAGTAGACCGCTGAGTTGTCAAAGTAAGCGGCCAATCCAGGGATATTTTATTTTAAAAACGCCATCTGTAAAGAAATGCCAAGCAGAGTAGCCGGCCGATACTAACTAAGTAGGCGGCCATTTTTGTCGGCAGCCGGCCACTTTTGACAACCCTGGTGTTAGGTCTAAAGGCCTGTTTCAAACGTCATGCTACTGCTATGCTAAGCTGGCTCGACTGTAGCTCGACTGCAGCACAACACTAGCACGACTTGGTTTAAGTCAAATAGAACGACTGTTCACGAAATTAAAACGCAAAAATAAAGAAACGGTTTAGCAAACTTTTAAATGTATTCTAATGTATTTATAACTTATGAATTGAGTTCGGCACGGCTGTAGCACGATGTTTGAAACCAAGTCGAGCCACTGCCGTGTAGCACAACAAGGCTTGCCATGCTACACGGCAGTAGCATGACTTGGTTTCAAACGTTGTGCTACTGCCTTGCTAAAGTCAAATTTAATTTGATCAATTGAGTTAGGCACGGTAGTAGCACGACGTTTGAAATGGGCCATAGTTCCCTACCTGCTTTTGCCTGGTCAGTGGCTAAATGAATAAGGTATACAGCTATTTCGAGAAAAGTTGTCGGAAAAAGTGCACGCGACAATCCCGAAAGGTATTGTGAGTGGTATTTAGTTCACTGTTTTTTCAAAGAAATTTCAAAGAATGGCAAGAGAGGCCATGGATGTATGTTAGCGAGGGCTAAAGGAAAGCAACAAAAGTAAGTTCGACGGCTACAGTGTCGGGAACAGTGTATTGATCATATCCCATATTACCTTTGGGACTTGTCGTGTGCACGGTTTTTCCGACAACCTTTCTAGAAATAGCTGTATACATGTACATGCTTATCGCACTTTTTCATATCATGGCTGAGACAACAAGGTATATACATGTGCAGTGCTCGTTTCATTTCTGAAGCAGAACAACATAAGACATTAACGAACACGACGTTAGCTTAACATCTCATAGGCAGAACGACAAGTCACCAATAAAGGATTCTGACACCAAGCTTAAGAACTTTCATATGAATCAATGAAGGGAAAACTCTGCTTTTCTCACACAAATACTGAATTATCAAAACACTCTTATCAGTGGCCAATCCAGGGGACAGCCCCGGGCCTCCCCAGTATTTTTAGACTAAACTGAGGCTCGAAGGGCCGAAAAAAATTTTTTTTGAGATCGCCCCACCCACTTATCTCAGGGTCTGGGTGACCATCCCCACCCCATGCCCCCTTATCTGAAGGTCTGAATCAGCCACTGCTTATGATTTAAAGTTAAGTGGTACGGGATACAGTGTTATTTTTGTGAAAAACAGGTGTCATTCCTCCCTATCGTGATGCACACCAGTTTGTCATTCAGCAGCGTCGTGAACATGTTAATGACCTCAAGCATGCCTTGATAGTCATGAGAAAGATATCTGATGAAGATGAGCTTTCCCTCCAGTTATCCATGATGTACCTGTTAGAGGAAGGAGCCTTGAGGTTCGTCAACCTACCCAAGGTAACCATGTTCATTAAACTTAGGAAGCTACTAGTGATGGATTGGGAAGGTTTCTTGGGATCATTTTATGTTTCTGGGAAACTGCCCGCCTACCCCTCCCCTAAGCCAACATAAATACTTACTTCTCACTTAGAGCAAAATGTTGGCTTAGGGGAGGGGTAGGTGGGCAGTTTCCCAGAAACGTATAATGATCCATTACTTGAGATGGAATCCTTGGCTTAGTATGAACATTTTCTTTAAGAATAACAAAGAAATTTCTGCTCATCAGTCATTATTTTATAAAGAAAATGCAAAGACCCCCGCTCTCACCATTGTGCTGGTCAAATGCATTGATGTTGGGTAGCAATCTGGGGTAATGGGGTGAGAAATTCTTTGGGAGTGTCATATGTTGCAAGATGCATTTCTGTGATATTAGTACCATCGAAATGGCATTGAATGATCTACACAAGAGAGCATTCAATCCAGTCCTGCTGGTTTAATTACCAACAAGTCTAAATTACAATAATTAGTAGAAAGATGAAACTCATCGTTACACAAACTTTGGACAGACAAAAAGCTCTTGACTCCTAAATAGGAACTTGAAGTTATGACCTGCTAAAAACTGGCCGGGACCCTATCAACTGTTTAGAATGTCATCTGGCTTTGAATCCTATGAGGGATTCAGGTTATTTTCATTGTTACACACTTGTGCCAAGACAATGTTGATAACTTACCGTAAAATTCCGAAAATAAGCCCCTCAATGTATAAGCCCCTCCATGTATAATCCCCTCAAACCAGAAACGCAAAAAACCCTCCATTAAATCGCCCCTCCAAATATAAGCCCCCCAGGGGCTTGTACTTGGAAAATTGCCCTCAAATACAGAGTAAAACAAAGCAAAAACAGTAAATTTATTTCCAACTATAAGCCTAGCTTAATCGATTTTGAAATGCAAATTTCTCTCCGTAGATAAGCCCTTCCAAATGTAAGCCCCTCAAAAAATAATCCCCTCAAAAAGGACCTTTGAAAAATATAAGCCCCGGGGATTAATTTTCGGAATTTTACGGTATTTTTCTCATACTGCCACTGTTTTGTCCCCACTGCATGCAAAGACTGCACTATATTGGAGAGCAAGAAAACCACTGAAAAAAAAAAACAAAAAAAGGAAAATACCTTTTCAATTAATATTGTAAACTCTTTGTTTGTCTTGTTTCAGTGCATTTCTTACACTCCAGCGTGCATTCTTTGTACCAATGACTGAATGGCTGCAATGACCTTACAGGCTGATAGACGTGTACCATGTGACCATGCTTTCACTTAACTTGTCATTAACTGATCATTACTTCTGCACAAAAATTAGTAGTTACACGTGAGGAATATCCATAAAAATTGTCTTGAAATTGTTTTTATGTGCTCATTTTCCATTTTTTGAAATTCTTTACTTTAATTCTTTACTTTACTTAATGTTACTAACTCTACTTCATATAGAAACTTGAAAGGAAAGCAGAGGCCATGAGAGCTGTGGTGCAGGTCTTCATGGATATGTTTGATGATGAGGTTGATCTTTACTGGTTGTCTGTCAAATTTATGAAATGTCTGGACCAATCAGCTGCCCAATTAGATAAACTGGTAACATTTTAAGTACTGAGTAATGCTCATTATTCCACTTCCATTAAGTTTTTAGGGCAATGTTTGTCAGTGAGTAAGTTCTTAACTGGGGCTTAGGGGTATGAGGAAAGTGAGAAAGCTCTCAGGTGGGGAAGACCTTCCATCCCGTGCCTCATACCCAGACGTCTCTGTCTCAATGAAAATGTTAGCCTGCGAAAACATCCGTTTCTCTTCGCTCTTCACTGCTGGGAACATTTCGCGTGGAAGAATGTCTGCGACTCAGCGGCAGAAATTCCATACTAATGATGCAAATCAATGTTTACATAATAAATCCGGTAGTCATGGGGTTCCAAATACAAATTTGTCCAATTTTACATGTCCTCTGGTCGATTTTGGTAAAGTGTTGTGTTCATCTGCCAACGGGCTCCAGCAAAACTCAAACACTTTTTCTAGAGAAGAGTTTATTCCGCAAATATTGAGTGTTTTGCTCGAGATTCTTTGCGTTTACATTTGTCCTTTGTGGCCTTTTGTCTTTTGTCTGTCATTTGTAAACAACAGCTAAAACAATGTAACTACTCCGTCGACCAATCACCGCTTCTGACTGGAGTCTGGGCAGATTTTACGTCATCAGTATGGAATGTCTGTCGCTCAGTCGCAGACGTTCCTCCTCGCGAAACATCCCCAGCGGCAAAAAGCGAGGAGAAACGGATGTTTTCACCGGCTATGAAAATTTGTGCACAAAGGAAGGCAGGAAGGAGAAAACATGTGAGACATTGCTTCCCTTCTTTACCCTTCCCATGGTCTGTTGCACTTCTTCACCAGTCACTCGCGTTTTGTGCTGGCCTCTATGCGAAACCATGTGAAAAATGAAGCGCCTGAGGAGGAGGCAGCTCCTACCCCCATGCATTGAGAGCTTGCTTGCATGTTAGCCACTAGCCTAACATCTGTATTTTGTGGCTTAAAATAAAACTTATTCAGAGCCAATGTAAGGACAGACTTGAAAACGGAAATCTTTCAGCAGGCATGTAGCTTAAATTTTTATTTTATAACACACAGAAAATGGCATTTGATGGGCGGGTAATATGAGAAGAAAACAGTTGCCTTTTTAAAGACTGCAATTTTTTATCAGCCAGAAAAAATATGTTGAGAGGCGGGTATTTTCCCCGGCTCCCGGTTATCATCTACATCCCTGCTTTGGTTGCTTGTCATTTTGTCCAGTCACCTGAGTTGTTATTTTGCCAAAAATGTATTTAGAATCCTTGAAATCAATTTTAATGTTGTAGGTCAAAATATTGATTTAAGTCAAAACCGTTTCAACATAGGTTGATTTTCAATATTTCCTTTGACTCTTAGTTCTAATTAATCATGATCATGAATAATTATGGGTTTAATTAGTAAAGGAAGGTAGGTTTGACCTGAATTTCATTTTGATTAGCAACATACAACACAAACATTCCAAACATATAAATAGTAATGACATTCCCATACTTGTGTATTTGTTATCCAGGGTTTGTATGAGCATGAAAATCCTTTCCATGCCTGGAAAGTCTTGGAAAAATAAATTTATGTTTGGTACACTATTTACTGCAGTTGTCAAAGCAAGGACAAAGATAGAGACAAGTAATTGGACAGCACAACAACATTTTGGTGGACACCAGAGTTTGTGTCTGTTGCATTGAATTAGGTCAAAAAATATTGTACATTGTAAAACAACGAAAGTTTCGAAAACTTTTGAAAGTGGCAGCGTGAAAATTGATAAGCTCAAAAGAGTATGAACCCTGGTTATCAATATTCAAACTACATTACACAACTGCAAGGGTTTTTATTTTGCCAGGACTAAAGATACCTGTCATCTGTGGTAACAAGATGATTTTATGCAGGTGTGCAGAAAGCTAATGTGGCTTGACTTTTATTGTAGCTGCACATGTATATCAACTTGAAACATCTACCTAACACTGCTATTTGAAATTTTGCAGGCAAAGTTGATTCAGTATTATCTTCAGACGGAGGATTTACAACTTTACAAGCATCTCTTCAATATTGAAGCATTTGAGATCATACCTCTTAAAAGGTTACATTGAATTGATTTTGTGTTACGTGCATAAACAGTATTCTTATGTCTAGAGGAAAAAACTTATTGCGCACGATTGAACATAATTTGATCATCGACTGTCAGAAGAAAAACAAGCTCTACTTAAACCCAACTATCCTATTTAAAGAATACAGCTTATTTTAGGACTACCTCTACAATGGGCATGCCTATGCACTATCATGTTTCACATCCTAGCCATCAACTTACCTTCGTTGTGCTATGACAATGTTAAACATATTTTGTGTGTTAGAAATATTATTCCTAGAGGAGGGATACTCCCTTATATGTATTTGGGGCACTAAAGTGTATGTTATTTTGCCTGCTTTGGTCCGAGATTGTGTATAGTTTTTTCGCCATTTAAGTTTGGATGAAATAGGATAATGTTTCTTCTGTTTTTTGGAACCAGGGTCTGGAATTAGGTATTCCTCTTATTTTTCCTCATTACAACAGCAGTTTAGTCCGGAAATAGGGAGGGAAATTTACGTATTAATTTAGTCTGAAACTGGTTTTTAATAGCCTGCGAAAACAGCCCTTTCTACTTGCTCCTCGTTGCTTGGGACGTTTTGCTGTCGAATATCCCAAGCGGCAAGGAGCAAGGAAAAACGACTGTTTTCACAGGTTACAAAGAAGGGTGCCCCTTAATTAGTTCAGTTGCCGAATGTAAAGTGGAATAATTAAGAGACCCATAACAAAATATACTAAGGACGTTTGCTCATCCTAGATGGACTGTCGTGTCCATTATAAATTGAAGTAGTTGTTACTGGATCCGAGTGGACGGTCCAGTTTTAAAGTAATTTTGTCACCACATGATTGTGTTCTAGATAAGACTTGTCCATTATTGCACATACCGGTAATGGTGTTGATAAATGTATCTGGTTCTAATGGTCAATTTTAGGCCAGTTTAATGTTTAATAGTAAAATAAGCCTGTTGTACTACAGCGTCTTTCATTGTACCCTATATTCTGTCTAACTTATTTCAAGGTGGTTTGAAAGTGGTTTTGCTGAAGATATTCCTGATTCATGCATGGAAAGGTCAGTCAGAATATGTGAAAAAGGAAACGTTAACTCTTTCCAGGACTACCTTAATTATATAGTCTACAAAGTATACTTTATATTCAGTTAGTGTAAATTTTTGAATTAGCGCCCGCATGATTTAGCAACAGGACGGGAACGTCAGTTGACGACGGGAAAGCGCGCGGAAAGGACTAAACACGACTTCCGGTGCCCAATATGCCCCTCTGCCATTGGTTAAGCCAGTTGTTCGATTTGCGCGCGCCGTGGTCAACTGACGTTCTCTTTCTGTTGCTATAAAATCAGCCTATCGTAGTAGCAGAGTTGTTGGTGTGTGTGTGTGTTTGTGTTTTTTTTTTTTCTGTACTCACTAAACCTATTGTTTTCCTGACGTTTTCGTTAACGTTGCCGTCTTAGTTCATGTTAGTTTTTTAAGGCCCTCTAATTTTTTTCCTCTCCCCGCCGGCAGGATCTGGGACAAAGTAGTTTGTGGCTCCAGTAAGATACTTGTTTTTGTCGCTGTTAGTCTGCTGCTGGTCTTCAGGCATCCCCTGCTTATGGAAAAGTCAGCCCAGGGAGTAAACACGTTTCTCAGTAAGGTACAGAACGATTCAGGTTTTCAGAGGCCATACCGATATTTTTCAATCGCCTTAACTGTGGTTTTTTCCTAGTCCGATCGCTATAAAATTTTCACCAGTAATTGGCTATAGATTGAAATTTGTGAAAATGTAGTTTCAAGTAAAATCGATATTACTATGACGACAATAAACAGAAAACTTTGAAATTGATAAAACCCGAATTTTGTGTGATCTAGACCAGCTGCTGAAAATCCAACACTAGGAACTTAAAGTTTGGTGTTTAGCAAATAGCCTGCGTAAGAGGTAAAAATTTCTGTATGTTTGAATTCGACTAAAACAAAAATATATTTCAAACCTTAAATTTTCATTAGCCGTAATAGATTATTCAATAAAAACGTTATAAACGACTCAAATTATTCTTAAGTAGGGTCAGAATCCTGCTTAATATCATATTTCGATGCTAGGAAATTTCGGTGTGTTTTCTTCCTTGCGATCTTAAAAACTAAACCGTTTTCTCACCACCTGTCTAAGTGCAACTTCATTCAAAATTTGGACTTTTAACCCTGGTTAATTGGTATATCCCTGAAACGACTCCAACGAATTTTTTTAACATCTCGTCAGATAATCTTCATACTGTATACAATAATGTCTGAAACTTTCATTGAGATTGGTTCTCTGCAACACCTTGAAATTTCAAGACAAACCTATCCTACGAACCTGTCAAAAATCTGCGTTACAACATTCACTGTTTTGACGTTATGCTAATTTTTCGAAAATAATGCGCACTATACATACCTCATGATTAGTACATTTTAGTTTGAATTTATCGCATCTTTTGAATGTAAAACATTGACAATACTCACACTGAAATGTATTAGTAATGTCCTCGTGCCGCTCGAAAATAAAATTCATATCTTCGCGCCACCGTGTAATGTCCTCTTTACTTAAAACTACATTTTCACAAATTTCAATCTATAGCCAGTTACTGGTGAAAATTTCATAGCGATTGGATTGGGAAAAACCACTTTTAAGGCGATTGAAAAATATCGGTATGGCCTGTGAAAAACTGTATCGAAACACCATAGGCCCAGTTCAGACGTCGTGCTACCGCCGTGCCGAACTCAATTCAGACGTCGTGCTACCGCCGTGCCGAACTCAATTCATGAATTATAAATACTTTATAATATATTTAAAAGTATGCTAAACAGTTTCTTTGTTTTTGTGTTTTGTTTTTGGCAACAGTCGTTCCATTCGACTTTCATTGTGTGAATTAAATTCGACGTCTGAAACCAAGTCGTGCTAATGTCGTGCTGCAGTCCAGCTACAGTCGAGCCAGCTTAGCTCGGCAGTAGCACGACGTTTGAAACAGCCCTTAATTAATGAATAGAGCGCGACATTTGACAGTTATGAAACCGATAATCTAATGGTCAGGCGCGGTCGTTATTATGAAAGGCATTCCTTGTTCGCTATGTTTGAAATCCATATCCTGAAAGCTATTTTTTAGCTTAGCATGACGTATTTCTAAGCTGTCTTCGTGGCTACCGATCCCAGGGAAACCAATGAATTTTTGAATTTTTATCCCCAGCCCGTGCCTGAAGACAGTTTTGTCAGAATGGTCAGTAAAGCTATGGAGCTGTGGGATAAACATGGAGCTACCGTGATCTCTGATGCACCTACAGTACACTGAATGGTTCAACTACATCCTTAGTGCTCAAACATGTGCCAGTGGGACTACTGGAATCAGAGCTCATTTGGCGGTGTTAGATCAGAGAAGCAATAAGCGTTCGCTGCTTTCATCCTCGACATTGCATGAATTACATGGGGCGCTCAAAAATCTGGCATCGCAGATGAGAAATTAGCAAGCTCTCTGAAACGCCTGATGGTATGATTATGTTATCCATGAACACAACCGTTACAAATGGCTGCAGATCTCCGCAAATCTAGCCTATGATAGGCGGATGTATTGGTCGGCTACTGGAAATCAAATTTGTGCTTAGCAGTGAAGTAATGACCGCCTTCAAAGATAAGGCTTCAAATTGGAGCATGTAGGGTGTAAGAATAGTTTTCACGTGACAAAGGAGAAAAAATTTTGTACTACATGTACATAGGTCATTTATTACTAGGCCTAGTGAACGAACATATGGACTAGTGATTTATAAACGAGAATTGATGGTTAAATATGTAAAGCAATTTATTGTATAGTCTACGGGTATGTCAGTTATATTCCTTGTGGTGCGAACTAACAGGAACGTTTTGATAGAAAGCAATTCTTGTCACTTAAAGTTACTTAAAGTGATGAAAAATTGTCACTTGCCAAAAAGTTGCGGCAATTTTTTTGGTCAACGGAAATTCACTACTTGTCAACCGGAAGTCGAGTGGGATTTTCGTGACAAATTGGAAGACCAAACAAAATTTTCGTGACAAAAGCGGAAGAGGACAGTAAAGTAATAAGCACGAAAAAGAGGAAACAAGAAACTGAAATTTTGTGGAAAATATAACAAAACAGGAGGTCTTTAGCATACTTTTACCGGTAAAAGACAAAGTTATAATGTGACCAAACAGGAAAAAAAGTAAACAACTGAACACAAATTCGTGACCAGACCGGAAGAAATCAATCTTTATACCGTGAACTAACCGGAACACAAACAATCTGCTTTTTCCGAGAGGTTGTGTCGTTAATTGCAATCATGATTTAGTACCTTCCGTTTTCTCTTGTAATACATGCGGTCTTGGAACTAAGGAATACGTCTTTGTTGTGCTGGAACATGTGTTATGTGCAATTTTTTATTTTTGACTTTAATAAATATAAACGAAGTGGTTCTGCGAAAGGCAAAGTTAGTAGAGGTTATTAGAACTTTGTATTCGATTACGTGAGCAATCATGAAATACGAGACTGTGATATTGAAATAATCTTTCATGCAAACAATATGAATATGTTATCCATTATTTCTCCCTGTGGCCATCTTCCTGTTGAACTATCTATCAAAGGATTCGGACACAAAATTTAGACGTGTAACTTTCCTTGTTCTTCCAAACTGAAGGAAATCCCGTTTCATTTATATCCTATCTTTTTTTGAACTCATAAATTTGCGCAGGCATTAACAAGAAATGGGCGCGTCTTTAACGCCGTCACGCCCTGTTTCGCAGAATTCTACTTGAGCGTGACCAAGATCATTTTACGTAATTTATTGAACCTCAAGCGCTAGCCACTTGTCACTTGCCAGATGGAGCATATCATTTGCATCTGAATAGTACCAAACTGGACATATTTAACGCACGAATTTTATAATTGTTTGGAATAAAGACAATTTTGTAAGGAAATATAATTATCTCTCCCTCTCCTAGCTTTTCATTTATAATATAGGCCGGTTCCCGGGGGATGTTCAGCCATACATATACGGGTATGTGCCAACCAGCGGGTAACATGAATGTCCTTTTGACACGAAACCAAGTCTCTCCCCCCCCCGATCCCGCCCAGTCTGCGGCTTCGAAGATATAAAGCAACAGTTAAGATCTACCACGAATATCAAGGAATTGCTTGTTGCTTGTTGTCGTGTATCAGTATTCCTTGCCTTTCAAAAGATTGCGTAATGAATCATTCTATTGGCTGGTGCATGGTGCACGGGACCCCCACACGATGTGAGGGTTTTTCCCGTTTTGTAGCGACTTTACTAAGTATTCGTCGAGAGACAGAAATAAATTTTCCACCTGTAAGGCTTTATAGGGCATTGCCTTCACCCATCTCCCTCTTCATTTCTCATCTTTTAGAATTAAAAACGTTTGTTAGGAGTTATTGTTGACGGAGAAGCACCGCGCGGGGGCGTCTTTCACTTTCGCGCTGCAGATGACCCTGTACTCAAAAGTTGATACCATCCCTTGGGCTGGTCAGAAATGCGGGGGCAGCAACCGCCCAGTCCTTAAAGCTCGTGATTTCTGAGAACGAACCAGCCTACCCTCGTTTTATATCTTGCGATTTCTGAGAAAAAAAGGTCTGATTAGTTAATTAACCAAATACGAATTTTAATATGCCTGTTAACTGAATGCTCGATGGCCAAGCCCATGTTTACAGCGTCTACAAACACACATCCTCTCGGGTACAAGGAAAAAAGCAGAACGAGATACCTGACCGGGACACTCGAAAAGAAAAACGAAATAGCGTTTCTACTCGTGACCGGTTTGTGACTGCACCTTCGTTCCGGCCATTGATTCCGCTTTATTTTTTTCCGGGATCGAAACCCACGTGCGACTTTTTTAACACCGCTACACTACACTGCTGAAAAAAAAGTGTGATATTAAAAATGTCTCGTGTTTCGCCCACTTCGGTAAGAGCCTCATCAGTCCTTTCGGAGCTAATAACGGGACATAAAATGTTGGCAATACATCAAGTCTAAAACTATGGTATTTGTTTAATATTTCGCATTGTCGCATTTACTACGGTTTTGTGCGTTTCCATTCGTTTTCCAGACGCCCTCCGGTCCGCAGTACACAGAAAGGACGTTGCGTGACACCGGAAGTTCATTATTATGCCGCTTTTTCCAAGAATCGCTCAGCTCTCTTTTAGTAGAAAAACAAAACAAATAACCCCAATATTCACCTAATTCTTGTTTTGATACCTAAAATAGATCGTGACAACTGTAATGTACGAAATGCAAATTAGTTCCGAAGAGTTATATATCTTCGTTTGATAGCCTGGACGCATGAGATATGGGGGTTTTCCCTCAAAGTTATGAGTCTTTAAATAAACCCCGGAGAGACAGCCTTACCTATTCACAAAATCGAAAACCACCGTGGAAGACATAGACCAGCAGCATCTTTGGCCGACAGCGTTAACTTCATCAACGATGGATGCAAATTTTAACGGCGCATTTCAGTTGTGGGTAAGTTACAAATCACGCTACTTTCTATAATCTGAGCTATTTTAAAAAAAACTTATTTGGAATATGCACAGGCTACATAGCTTGTACGAGGAGCGAAGGTTTTTAACATAAAGATTTCAGTTAGTTTATTTCAGGTTAGTTGTAAACATTTCTATATTAAATTTTCGTGAAAAAAGAGTACACTTGTTCCAGACGTCTTCCTTCTCCTAAATTGTAAGATATCAACTTCTTTCCTAATGGAAAAAAGGGGTTAACAAACATACACGTTGCATAAAACGGTAATGATTATCTGCTTCAGGGCACAGAGAAGGCTCAATAAATTTCAAATATTATTGTTGGCGCAATTCCTGGAACTTAGCTAGGATTACAAGGAAATCAACACTAGCAGCAGTTCAGGATCACTGCGTTTTCGGGTTCAGGTTTTACTGCTGTTGAGTTAAGACAATAGTGACATCTTCAACGGATCTGAAACCATCCTTAAACAAACGTCCGAGCTTTACTACAATAAATGAAATTGATGTCAGTGTTTTCTCTTGTGGATATAAATATATATACAGTCCGAGATAATCAAGTCGAGTTACAGATGTCAGTGAGCTAAAAGCCTTCAGTATACTTTAGTTCTGGTTTGTCCAAAAGGATCAGAAGGATTTAGAGTTAACATAACGTAACTCGCTTTAGAGTTAGTTGGAATGAACTGGGGAGTACCTGTATTAACAGGGAGATTTTAGAAATGACTGCTTTCTTAGCAAAGCGCTTCATTTAGATGTTTCGGCCGCTTTTATACAGTCTAACTCTTACTTCTAAAACTGAATGCCCTTAACGCTGATGTGGTGCTTTACCCTTCTCAACACACCTTCCCAAATGCGTGAGTAAACATTTGATACAGAGATAGAATAGATATCATTGATTTACTCAAATGAATTGGTCTTATTCTTAGCTGAAGAAAAGGAATAATTTTAACTCTTTGTTTCTTTATTAGCCACCAGCAGTAGGGTACAGCCACGAAGCCGCCTTATTGGGCATCGAACCTACCGCCCAAGTTGAAAGTACTCAGGTTAAAATAGAGTTGAAGGAGAAAATCAAGACAAAGTATAACGGAACTGAACTTCCACAAATAGAAATAAAGGAACCAGAACCGCCAAAGAAAGTAAGTAAAGTACAAATTTACGCTGAAGAAATGTTAATATGTGCCTTATATCAATGTACATGTATAAACTGTGCGGGCAGGGAAACGTACGGCGACAAAGCGAAGCCCTTGTTCCTGCGAGCTCGGTAAATCGAAACATGCAAGTCACCACTATACGAACATTTAGCTTTGAATTTTCAATTCAAAAACACCTCAGATTCAGCTCATTTTCCTTATATATTGCAAAGAAATGTGTATGTTCATAATGACTTATTTCTTATTGCTGATATAATTTTTGAACAAGAGAGAATGATTATGGATACGTATCAAGAACAATGTCATCATATTTTTTTTACATTTTTGAAACTATTCCTGGGCCATTCCAATTTTAACGCTTTACCACCAATATTTCAGTTCTCTCCACTGAAAATGAAATATTTTCCCATAAGTTTCATCGCAATACGGTCAGGCAAAAGTGCTTTCATTAATTCAAGCGGTCATTTTATATGGTCCAACTGATCGTTTGATGATTAAAGCAGTTGTAGCTAATTGTCCGTTTTGTTTTATTTTATTTAATTGCCTTTGGCAGTGAAATTGAAACTTACTGGAAAACGAAAAAAGTGTCCGTTTTTTAGTTTCTACTCCTCCTACGAAAATATAGAGTTATAAAAGAGTTAAAAATTGCGTTGTTTCTTTTTTTTTTCTGTACCAAATTTCGCAAACTCTCGAGATCTTTTGCTTTCGATTTGTTCGGGAAAAACGGATTAAATGCCACCTGTTTATCATTATTTTGGGGATATGCCGTTCTGGTTATAATTAATAAAAAATCCATCAGAAATCAGTCCCATAAGGAATAAAATAGCCAACTTGTTTAATATCATGGCTTTAAAATTCTTTCTTTTTTTTTTTTTTTCACGTTGTATGGGTCGTTGTACAAACGTGCGTCAGACTGCATGAATAGAACCAATATGAATAAGTTTTCTAATGTCATGAAATGTTCTATAAATTTTTCTCTCAGAAATCTAGTATACGTATTTGTTAAGAAAACAGTGCATCAGGCTATGTTGGGCCAGTATCGATACTCTCGTGCTCGTCCAGACCAGAAGTCTCAACACACCATGATTTTTAACAAAGGACGTGATATATTTCTATCAAAACAACAACAAGGATATACTTAGAAAAAAAAGGCAGCGACGAAATACAGATATATAAAAATAGAGGTCGTAAGTGGGTCATTACAGATATCTAATCTCTTATCTCAGTTCTGATGAACTAAACTCGCACTCAGTCGCGCCAATCAGTTCAAGCCATTTTAGGTTCAACGGCGTACATTCCTACCCAAACATATGACCGATACTCATTTGGATTATTTTGGGTGTTAATTCAGTTGCTTTTTTGAGAATTAGAAATTCTGTTTCTTTTTATTGATTGTTTGTAGAGACAGATTCGATCAGTGTGTCGCGTTAAAGACAGTAAAAAGGATCTCTGTTTTATTAGCAAAAGAGACGGACGGGGACTCCGGTCCTCTTCATTTCTGCAAGACAGTTTTACAACGTTTACATCTAGAAATGTCAAAATATTTTAATTGCTAAGAAAGAAAAAAAAAAGCACATGTTGTATTCGCCATTTCATCTCATGATACACCTTGTTTGCCCTCTCTCACCATGGTTTGCCCCAAAATTATGTTTAAATTGCCTTTTATTTCCCTTGAGAGGACTGTAATACCCAGGAGAAATAAAAAACTAAGGTTGTCAACGTTTGGTGGGCAAACAAAAGA